CAAAGATAAGGAAAGAATCTTAAAAGAAGCCAGAGGTCAAAGCACCTCATCTATAGAGGAGCAAATAGAGGAATTACATCTCACTTCTCTTTGGAAACCACTGAAGCAAGTAGAGTAGAGTAAAATATCTGGTATTGAGAGAACTCTATACCCTGCAAAAGTATCCTTGAAAACTGAAAGAGAAAGAAAGACTTTCTCAGGCTAACAAAAATTAAAGGAGCTTTCTGCCAATGGACCTCCCTTGCAAGAAATGTTAAGGAAGCTTTTCAGAGAGAGAGAGAAGGGAAATGCAGATATTTGGATCTACGTAAAGGAAGAGCAGCAGAGAATGATTAAGTAAAGGTAAAACAAAAACTTTTATTTTTCTTAATCTTTTTCTTTTTTCTAAAGAGAGAGAGAGCGTGTGTGTGCAGTAGGGAGGGACGGGGGGAGAGGGAGAGAAAATCTTAAGCAGGCCCCATGACCAGCTTGGAGCCCCACTCAGGGCTGGACTCTGAGATTGTGATCTGAGTCAAAGTCAAAGTTGGACTCTTAGCCAACTGAGTCACCCAGGTGACCCTTATTTTTCTTACTCTTAAATGATCTAGCAGAAAATAGTTCCTTCAAAATGACACTAGTAACTATGGATTCAGTTATGTATGCTGATAGGTAGTTGGATAGATACCTTTATTTATGCTTATAAATAAGTGAAATGAATAATAATATGGACACAATGGCTGGGAGGGAGGAGTTGGGATTATTTATTATTTGTCATTATTCACATTACACTTGAAGCACAATAGTGTTATTTGAAAGTGGGCTTGGATTAGTTAAAAAAAAAAGAAGTGCAACATATGTTTAAGAAGGAGAGAAAATACAATCATATAAAGTGCTAAGTTAAATCCAGAAAAGGCAGAAAGAGAAGGAAACAAAAATAGGAACAAAGAACAAAGGCAACAAGTAGAAAAGAGCAACAAATATGGTAGATAGAAATCCCATTATATCAGTAATCACTTATTTGTTTTAAAGATTTATTTATTTATTTTATAGAGAGAGCGCATGTGTATGCACAAGTTGGGGGAGGGGCAGAGGGAGAGAATCTTCAAGCAGATGCCCCACTAAGCATGGAGCCTGATGTGGGTCTCAATCTCACCACCCTGAGATCATGACCTGAGCCAAAACCAAGAGTTGGACGCCTAACTGACTGAGCCACCCAGGCACCCTTCAATAATCACTTTAAATGTTAATGGTCTAAAAGACAGAAGTAGAGTGGATCAGAACTTAAGACCCAGCAATGTATTGTCTATGAGAAATCCACTTTAAATATAAAACATGTGTATATTAAAAGTAAGTGGATGGAGAAAAATATATCATTCTAAGACTGAAAGCAGGAGTAGCTATATTACTTTCAGAGTAGACTTCAAAGCAAAGAACAATATCCAAGATAAAGGAGGTAATTACATAATGATAAATGGGTCAGTTCTCCAAGAAGATATAATAATCCTCAATGTGTATTCACCAACAACAGAGTTTTAGAGTACATGAGGCAAAAACCGATGGAACTGCAAGAAGAAATACATGAATTCACTATTACAGTTGGAGACTTCAACATCTCCTATTGGAAGTGGACAGATCCATGAGGCAAAAAATCAGTAAGGACATAGTTGAACTCAGTACCATCAATCAACTGGATACAGTTGGTATCTATTGACTATATCCAACAATGGCACAATATTCATTCTTCTCAAGTCCCCATGGAATATTTACCAAGATGGAGCACAATCCCTGCCATAAAACCCACTGTGACACATGTAAAGGAATAGAAATCATACAGTGTCTTCTCTCAGACCATAGTGGAATTAAACCAGAAATCAGTAACAGAAACATAGCTGGAAAATCCACAGATACTTGGAGATACACAACAGCCTCCTAAAAAAGACATCGGTCAAAAAACGAGTCTCAAGAGAAATTTTAAAACATTTTGAACTTCATTAAAAATGCAAACACACTGATCAGAATTTGTGGGATGCAGAAAAGTGGTGCTTGGAGGGACACTCAAGGCATTGAATGCATATATTAGAAAATAAGGAAGTACTGAAATCAGTCTGAACTCCCATATATAGAACCTAGAAAGAGAATAGCATATTAAATCCAAAGTAAGCAGAAGAAAAAAACTAATAAAAATTTGAGCAGAAATCAATTACATTGAAAATGAGAAATAGAGAAAGTCCAAGAAACCATGAGTTGGTTCTCTGAAAAAAAAAATCAATAAAACTGAGAAAGCTCTAGCCAGGCTAACTAAGGGGGAAAGAGAGAGGACACAAATCACTAATATGAAATAAGGGACATCACTCCAGATCCCACAGAAGTTAGAAAGGTAACAGAGAAATACAAGGAACAATTCTGTGCCTACAAGTTTGACAACCCACATGAAATGACAATGTGGTATTGGCAAAAGAATAGATAACCAGATCAATAAACAGAATTGAGAGCCCCAAAATAAATCCAAATAGGTATAGTGAACTGATCTTTGACAAAGAAGTAAACAGTGCGATGAAGAAAAGATAATCTTTTCAACAAATGGTGGTAGAACAAGCGGGCATCCACATGCATAAATATATAACCATACGGTATTTATCTTTCTCTGAATGACTTATTTCACTTTGCATAATACTTTCTGGGTCCAGCCATATTGTTACAAATGGCAAGATCTCATTCTTTCTTATGGCTGAATAATATCCCTTTGTGTATATATTCCACACCTTCTTTATCCATTCAGCTATCAGTGGACATTTAGGTTGCTTTTTCATAGCTTGGCGATTATAAATAATGCTGCAAAAACATAGGGGTGTACGTATCTTTTCAAATTAGTGTTTTTGTTTTTTGGGATGAATACGTAGTAGTGGAACTGTTGGGTTTTATGGTATTTCTATTTTTCATTTTTTGAGGAAACTCCATACTGTTTTCCACAGTGGCTGCACGAATTTACACTCCCATCAACAGTGTACAGGGGTTCCCACCTCTCTACATCTTCACCAGCACTTGTTATTTCTTGTGTTTTTGATTTTAGCCATTCTGACGGGTATGAGGTGATATTTCACTGTAGGTTTGATTTGCGTTTCCCTGATGATGAGTGATGTGGAGCATCTTTGCATGTGTCTGTTGGCTGTCTGGATGTCTTCCTTGGAAAAGTGTCTATCCGGGTCCTCTGCCCTTCTGTAAATGAGGCTATTAAAGCTCAAAACAATGAAATTACTTAGTCCAAGATCACCTAACTATTAAGCAGTGGTATAAGATTTTGAATCCAGATTTTTCCGGAGAGGAGACCTGTAAGGACCTAACACCCACGAGTACAGGTTTTCTGGGCAATTATGGTGTGTCTTCTATGTGCAAAGCACACTGATAGATATTAGGACAAGTGAGAAGGAGATTGTGTCCTTAGATTGAACTCTGCAAAAGAAACAAACAGAAAGAAAGAAGCATGCCAAAGAGAGCTAGAGTGGAATATAAAATTCACAGGTGTTTCACGTGCCGAGTGGGACAAGTGTTGACAAAGTGGGTCCTGCCCAGACCGGCTGCCACACCACTGTTGGGCTCTGACCTCAAAGAGAGAGAGCTGAGGAAGCCATCCTGGGCCACGGGGGTCAGGAGGCAGCCCCGAGTATGTTGTGTGAGAATGTGCAGAGATAGAGGACCTCACATTGGCCAACTGGGTGGGCGAGGGTCTGTATTTAAAATACTGTAATTCACCAAAGCTGATGGAGGAGAGGGTCTTGACCACACCTGGTAAGTCCGAAGTGTCAGCAGGCTGGAAACACAACCAACGCTCAAGAGAGAGGGAATTGGAGCTGCAATTTGGATTCATCCCCAGATGGATGATTGTGAACGCTTCAAGGTCTCTGACAGAGAAAAAAATAAGTGAAGGAATGAATCCTAGGGCTATGTCTGAGTAGGAAGGGCTGGGGGTAAGAAGAAAGAAGAGCCCCTGCAGGGAGAAGGGGCTGTGTATACTGGGGCACGGGGTCCAGAGGATGACATTGACCACTTGGCTAATGTGAAAACCAGTAGCCACGAAGCCACGAGTTTTTCTGCTTAGAATTATAAGAGTCAGTTTTTATCTTGGAGCCTGTTTGGATTAGTTTATTTTTAAAAAATTTGTAGGCGAATGTTTTTTTTTTATCGCTTTTATGGCTGCATACATCACAACTAAGCATATTTTGGTCGTGAGCACGTTAACAAAGACTATAGAGGCAAAGAAGGGAGAATGAGAATCTGACTGAGTGCTGAAGTTCAAAGCTGGGGGCCCTTATTTAGGCCCCAGTAAGTGCTCACGTTTCCATTGTAGAGGGAGGTCTGGAGGTAGAGCAGATCTTGGGCTGACGTGGAAGCCTGTGGAAGATACAGCCCAGGTTAACACTAAGATGGTGCTTTTCAAAAGGGGTCCCGGTCTGGGGGACGGGCAGCAGCACGTAGCACATGGGAACATGTCATCACAGCACATTCTCCGGCCCCATCCCACACTGAGTGAGTCAGAGGCCCCGGGGGTGGGACCAACAGAAGCCCCTCGAGCACTGATGTCCGATATCCAAAATCCCGCTTCAAGAGGTGCGGAAGTTAAATGGGACTTATTGTTACTCCAAGCAGTTTGCTTATTTAAACTCCCTCTTGTAAAGGTGCCATGAAGAATTAGACCGGTTCTTTGAAAGTCACAGTTAATTAACTTCTTTCTGTGGTTCCTTAGAATTAATTAAATCAAATGATTGCAGATTGGACTTTTGTAGAAGGCCCCCCGGATGGAACAGTTAGTGAAAAATCACAGTATTGCCACTCATAAAATATTTAAATAATGCCAGCTTCATTTCAGGACAAAAGTAGGAGTGCTTCATATTGTTTAAATTGTCACTTTCCCACTGTCATTCACAGGAGAGGGAATAAAACATATACCGTGAAGCTGGCTACCCAATTAAATGCGTTATATATTTATGCACACTGCTAATATAAAACATTTTTCTGCGTTGCAGGCCCGAACTGCTTTGCGGAAACAACTGTCATCCCCGCTGGAAGAGAAGTCAAGACTGACGAATGTACCATATGTCATTGTACTTATGAGGAAGGCACGTGGAGGATCGAGAGACAGGCCATGTGCACAAGGCATGAGTGCAGGCAAATGTAGAAATGGGACCACACACACACACACAAAAACAAAAACAAAAAAAAAAAAACAGACGTTTTTCTAGAACATTTTACTGATGGGAACATTCTAGATGACTCTGGGGAATAGCATTCAACAGAAGACTTTTGATGAGGAATACGGAACATGGTTGGTACTTTTGCGTTTCTTGCTAACAGTTACTGCAAAAGAAGGAAATGGGTATATTTCAAAACATCCACAAGAACTTTGGGCATAAACCCCCCCCTAAATAAATGTGCTATTTTCACAGTAAGTATACCGAAGGACACTATTCTATATTAAATGTATTTCTATAATCCCTCTATTAGCTTATATAAATGTTTTCTATAGATACAGATTAAAAATGCCGTGTTGTCAACCATGCTCACTGTGTACCTGCAAAGCGTCTTCAGTCCCCGATTCCCTCACACGAGCCTAGTGGTGGCTACTTGATTCTGCTTCACATCTTGGAACAGTGCACCCAACGAAATACTGAAATCCTGCCCCTGTGGTGTCTCATTCCAGAGACAGATCTCGTGTCTGTCCTTACGAGATTCGGTCTCCTTCACACAAATACGTTTCCTTCTCATAATGACTCCCTGCTTTGATCGTCTCTGTTCTCGGTCATGTGGGAGATGCAAGTACAAAGTTAAGCAGTACGTGTTTTTTCTGTGTATTCGTGTTGGGGGCCATAGATGGACACATCCGTAGAGTTCATTCTCACGCACATTACTTTCTCTTCTGAGCATGCCTTTAAATCATCTCGTAAGCCAAGCGACAGGGTAGGTTGGAACGTTTGCACTGTTGTTCCATCAGGCTGAAGCATGCAGTGAAATAGGGGGATTTCTTGACTCTCTGGAGCAGAGTGGAGGAAAACCCAAGCCCCAAACAAGTCTCTACCTGGAGTCTAGATGCAGTGCAGAGAACCACCCCCACCCCCACCATCCACTCAGTGGATGCATGTTTCTTACCGGAACGATCAACTACCCTCCGTAAGAGACAGAGTAGAATTTGAAAGATCGCCCTGTATTAGCCATCCTTCTGGAACAGAATGAGGAGCATCCCAGCCAGTATGTGAACACAGACAGTGCCAAAACCCATGTGTGCTCGGCTACTTTTGTGTAGTTACCTGTCATCCCAAACGGATTTTATTTCCCCTCATTTGGACAGGGAATAAAAGAAGCCACTGCAAATCCTAATCCTTGAGCAATGCATATTAGAGAATATTTCTGCCTTTAGCAATCACATTGACTCCTGGCACACTGCTGAGAAAGGTAGTCAGTCTTAATAGGCGTACAGTGAAAAAATAATGATAGTCATTATCTGAATCTTTAAAGGTTTTTTCCCCATATTTTTATTTACTCCAAAAGTTTGAATTAAGCACCTATTAGGCACAAATCATTCGATGACAAAAAAGGGAATAAAGCATGGTTTCTTGACTTCATGAGCTTTTGGCCCTACACCTAACACGAGTAAGAAATTACAGTGCATTGTGGCAGGAGGTCAATTCAAGGTCGACAAAGGGAAGTTCTTTCCTGAAAAGAGCAGAGAATACCAAAATATCATCCAGTATCTAAGAAATGATTCAAGCATTAAAGGTTGACTAATCAAGAAAAATTGATATATTTGTCATTGTTGAAAACTTGAACCACTGTGTACCTTAATAAATGTACAGCCAGCACTAACTGAAGCCTCCAGAACTTTACATATGCTTACATTTAATTTGAATCTTGGTTATCAAGAACCACCTTGGGCCAAATGGGCTCCATGCACATAGATTTTCAAGAAAATGCTCAGGGGAAGTATTAGCTAGTTACTTTCCAAAACTTAACCTTTGGTACTAAAGGCTACTAGATATTGGCCATCATCACTCTATTATCCAAAGGTAGATTTTTTTTTTTTTTTGAGACAAGGTTATATACGTTATGGTTTTGCCAACAGTGGGCTCGAATCCCCATGGGGAGGTGGGTCATTAGCTATCGCTAACAGTCCACAAAGCCGCCTCTTCTCTCCCCAGCATACATGCTGCAGTGAGAGACTCAGAGGCCCAGAGTCTCCCTGCCTCCCTTGGTGATGTAAGTCCCTCCCCGCATGGGTGGTGAGCTCTGGAGTAATTGCAGTGGGACCTATGAGAATTTCAGGAAACCCGGGACTTTGGTCATATACAGAGAGAGTGAACAGGAGAGCATCTTGGGAAACAGACTTTCACTTGCTCTAAACGAGTGTGACCCCATAACATACCCCAGGCACAGTCCAGAGCTGGAACACAGGGGCTGTTCTTACACTAAAGTAACTCCCTGTCCCTCTCTGGTTCCAAGCCTTCATTCCTCTTCCCACGTAAGAACACTATGTAAACCACACATATGGCCGAACTTGGGTTAATGACACTGCATATCCTTAATGCAGAATGATGCTATTTGCACTTTTGTCTAAGAGAGACTCGTTCTTCTTTGGTTATTTCTTGCCATGAATGTAGAGTTTCACGTCTATAAGGTTGTAGCACGTTGAAATTTTCTTTTCCTCTTCTTTTTTTCCCCATAGAGTATTTTGCAGAGATTTTTAACAATGAAACTGTTCTATTCATTCAGATTTAATAACCGCATTATAAAAAGAGGAAAATACATGTCCAAGTTATTCGATTGCAAAATATTCTGGTTTGGACAGAGTCCTGAAAAAGGAGCCTCAAAGTTCACATACAGACATGTTTGGAGAGCCATAATTCTTAATCTTCCAATCGGTCTGCTCCATGAGTCCCTATAATTGTTGCTAAGTGACTTCTTCAGGTTGAAAAAGGAAATCATACTTACAGAGGTAGCACATGCACTTATTTCAAATATTAAACCTATATATCTGCCCATACGAAGCAATGTGTATTAAGCAACAGGACGATTCTGGAAATTATCTAATCTGACTTTTTAGACTTTCAAGTGAGATTTGTTCCTTCAGTCACAGGATATTTCCCGTGTCGTTGCGTGGATCTGTCAGTCCTTTTACATTTCACGGAAGTCTTCGGTAATTTCAAAACCTTGAGTTTTATTCCTGCACGCAGCACGCCTTAGATGTGTCCCCACCATGCGCCACATGGAGCTGCAGCTCCAACCGATGCGGAGGTGAGAGCATCCTTGACAGCAAGGAGATTACATGCCTCGAAGCTATCTGACATCTCAGTATTTTTCTTTCACCTTTTTGATACTTTCAATTTCTTCATCTCCTTTGTACAGTAAAACAGGTTTAAGAGATAGTCTTACACATTTAAAAATTTTTAGCATCACGATTATGTTTAAGAAACTCTCCTCTCTATTCCCCCAACACAAACGTTGTATGTTTACAATGTTTAAAAAAAATCCAAACAATTTCAGAGAATTCAGGTGTCTTCTATTTTGTTTTTTGTTTTGATTTTAAGCAGTGAAAGCAGTGAAAGTGAAAGATTTTAAAGTGGAAAGTTTAGTGCATCCATTATTTAAAATGTGCACAATATATTAACTAGCTCAACCGAAAATTGAAAACTATCCATTATTTTTATAGATAGAAAACAGAATTATAGACACAAGCCAAATTTAACAAATATTAACAGTTTACTATATTTGCTTTAATAGGCAAGACATCAAGTCTACTCTTACTGATTTTTAAAAAAATCAGATGCTTTTCTGCAATGCAGTGTAATAAGGAGAGGTGAGGGGTGCCTGGGTGGCTCAGTAGAGTGTGTGACTCTTGATCTCGGGGTCATGAGTTTGAGCCCCACGTTGGGGGTAGAGTTTACTTAAAAAACAATTAAGGAAAGGTGATTAGGTGCCATCTCATCCATGTAATGAGGCCAGTCAGGCACCTATGGTTCTAGGATCTGGGCTTCGTTGACAACACATTGTCATTACTAGACTTACCCCCACAGTCCCCTGTTCCCACTAGCAGCCTCTGTGGATGGCTGGTGCGGTCACTCTTCCTGAGCACTCAGATTCAGAGAGAGCAATCGCTTCTTCTGGAATAAACGAGGGTTTACAGCTCGTATGTTCTATGAGCCAGAGGCCACTTCTCACTGTTCCATGTAGAGCTGGTTCATCCTTCCCATTCCCACCAGCCTCCCCAGTCTACCAGTTTAGTTTCCTGAACGCAGATGGTGTCTTTGACTGAATGAGTGTGGGGCAAGGTCGAAGCTCACACCCTACCCGGGTCTCCTATTGGCCGTGAGAGTCTCAGGCTTTGGGTGCCTCTGACCACGCTTTGAACGTGGTCTCTGCTTCCCAACTCCCTGCTTTTTCAGCACTTGGAGATATTCACCATTTTTCAATATCCAGCTCAAGTGCCGTTGCTTCTGAGGAAGCTTCTTTAGTCCTATGTGGACTGTCACGCTGCGCCCCTGCCATACTGTCCATTTGGTATTTTACGCTAGCATGATTTAGAGATCATATCATACTTGGCGTTACAGTTCAGTTTATCTGTTTGCTCTACTATTCATGCTAAAATCTCTTTATTTCAGGCTATGGAACATTCGGTCCCTAGAATATCTTCCAATACCTTTATGCTGAAGGCTTGTTGAATTGTATTCAATGTATTAATTCAGAGGGTTTTTTTTTTTGCTGTCCATGTTTAAGGCCAACGACCACCTTGAAGAGCAACTCAAAACTTCCATGACTGTTTGCCCGACCTGTTGTCTCCCGCTTTCTCAGCTGACTTGCAAACCTCGATGTCCAGGGTTCAGCAGCCCAAAACATAGCAAATCCCCACCACTGCAGAGTTTATAGCAAACAGCCCTTAGACAGGCACTGGCTATTTCTGATACAAGTCAGGAAACACATGGCTTTTGGTGTCAAATTTCTGATGCTGAAAATAATTTCTTATGTTGAGGAGACACTGGTTCTTAGTGATGATAACACAAGTCAAGTTTATAGCTTTGGTCTTTACAGTATTTATTTACTTAGTTCTGACTTCATAATATAAATTTCTTGTCTTAGACTTTCACAGTCCAGTATGTATGCATGTTTTCATCTTTTTACATAAGTACTCAATAGGTATCTAATAAAGTAATAAATCAATGAACTCAAGTCATTTCTGCAGGAACACACATTTCCACAGGCTGTTGGGAAAGTGTTAGAAGGTGGTGGTTGTCTACATTTCACCACATGTCCAAGTTCACTCTGAGTTTTGCAGAACACCTGGTTTTTTTTTTTTGTTTTTTTTTTTTTTTTTTTTTTGCACCTGCTGTTTTAACTTTAACACGAAAATATAGAGATTAAGTCCAAACACCTAATTTTTATTTTTTTACATTTTTATTTTAATTCCAGTTAGTTGGCATACACTATTATATTTGTTTCAGGTGTACAATACAGCGATTTAACAATTCCATGTGCTCATAATGACAAATGCACTCCTTCATCCCCAACACC